AAAATCCCGGGATTTCACCCCAAAATCTCCTCTCACCTGCAGCTTCAGCTCCAGGTCACCTTGGGGATGTTTGACAGCGAAATTTCCTCCAAAAATTCACATTTTTTCCCCAAAAAATCCAATTTTTTCACCAAAAATTCACATTTTTTCCCCAAAATTTCCCATTTTTTCCCAAAATCCCGGGATTTCACCCCAAATTTCCTCTCTCACCTGCAGGGTCAGTTTGAAGTTCCAGCTCTGGGATTTTTTTCCAGAATATTTGATGTGAAAATTTCCCCCAAAAATCCCAATTTTTTTCCAAAAAATTCACTTTTTTTGCCCAAAAATTCACTTTTTTTTCCCAAAATCTCGGGATTTCACCCCAAAAATCTCCTCTCACCTGCAGCTTCACTTCCAGGTCACCTTGGGGATGTTTGACAGCGAAATTTCCTCCCAAAATTCACATTTTTTCTCCAAAAAATCCAATTTTTTCACCCAAAATTTCACATTTTTTGACCCAAAATTTCAGATTTTTTCCCAAAATCCCGGGATTTCACCCCAAATTTCCTCTCTCACCTGCAGGGTCAGTTTGAAGTTCCAGCTCTGGGATTTTTCCAGCTCAATTTGGGAACATTTGATGAAGAATTTCCCCAAAAATTCACATTTTTTTTCACCAAAAATTCACATTTTTTCACCCAAAACTCCGATTTTTTTCGGGTTTTTTTCCCAAAATCCCGGGATTTCACCCCAAAATCCCCTCTCACCTGCAGCTTCAGTTCCAGGTCACCTTGGGGATGTTTGACAGCGAAATTTCCTCCCAAAATTCCCATTTTTTCCCCCAAAATTCACATTTTTTGCCCAAAAATCCCCATTTTTTCACCCAAACCTCCGATTTTTTGGGGTTTTTTTTCCCAAAATCCCGGGATTTCACCCCAAACCCCCCCTCACCTGCAGGTTGAGTGCCAGGTGCCGGGTCTTGGTCTGTTCCAGGTCACTTTGGGAATATTTGAGGCGCATTTGGAGCCCGT